ATGTGTAGGGTTGTTGTCCTGTTGGGAAGTGAACCACTATTCCAGTCTTAAGTCTTTTGGAATCTTTAACAGGTTTTATTTGGTATTGTAGTCCAGTATTTTGATCCATTCATATTTCCATTGACTCAACTTGCTTATGCATCTTGAAGCAAAGCATGATATTGCTTCATGTTTCAATGTGTGGGGATAATATATTTAAGGTTACAATGTTTATCTTGCTGCACATATAGCATTTTCCACTTAGGGGAAAAGGTTAATGTCTCAATTCAGAATTTTAAAATATTTTCTTTGCCATGTTTGCTTTGTCCCAACAGGATTTCACCATAGAGGAGAACAACTTCAGCTTTCTCCCTCTTAGTCTTCAATAAAGGCCAGCATATACTACTACTATGTGTCCTGTCAACAGATTATTGCAACTGAGCTGTGAGCTTTGCAACTTAATGCCAAGTTTTTTACTGATCTCCCTAACATGAATGCGTGCATGTTAGGGAGGGCAAATGGATAAATCTGACAATAGCGTAAAGCATTATGAGTGGCTAGCATGACTGCAAAGGTACTACCTAAATTCAGTCCACTTAGCATTTATTAATTCAGTGACTTATAAAAGTGATTGGCTGAATTGGATTTCTGGTTACAAGAAAAGCATTGCTGAACCAAGAGGCACTTAACACTTTTTAAAAACATTTATCTATAAATTATTTTAGAAATTAAACTACTTTTTTGTTACTCTTTCATGTAAATCCCAATAACTTTTATTGAAGTGTATAGTTATAATTTCACAAAGTGTAATCATATTTTAAGGGGTCTGAAACTTTAAGAGGCAGCTTATCATTCAACGTTTTGCATCTGTTATGTTGTTTAGTCATAAACAATATTTTCTTTTGGTAAACATTAACCTGTAAGGTTGGAAATTGCTTAATTTACTTGAGCATTGCACAGCTATGGGGAAATGTATGCTCATCAGTGAGTGAGCTCTGGCAAGACTACCCTGCTGTGTACTTTAATTTTAGGCTATGGTCATCTTAGGTTCCCATCCTGATCACCTCATCCAAAACAGAATACAATATCACTGAGATGCACTTACTGAAATGTACTTTAAAATAGTTTTTGAAGAAAAATGGGTTATTAATTGTGCAGGTTGGCCTGAACAAAATATGCATTTTACTTATTTCTTTGTGTTTATACTCATGTAAGATATTTCTCTGTAGTCTGTAGATGTACAGGCAATGTCATTTGAAAATATTTCTTGGTTTTAAGTGCATTGTAAGCAGCGCTTTTGCACCGCTTTGCTAAATGTAACTGATACAATACAATGATTTTTTTTAAAGTTTATCACATCAATGCTTATGATTTGTCAAAATGTAGATAATTAAAAAAAGAAGGTTGATCACAAGCTAAATTTAACCAACACCAGAACATGTTTTTATTGAACCACAATACACAGTTGGCGTTTATTGTTTACAAGTGCTCATGTGACTGTTTTTCATTTCCATTTAGGCAACTAGTGTTTATTTAGCTTTTTCAGGTCTTCCAGTGAAACTCATTAACAATTAATAAGAGCATGGAGCATGCAATGCAACAGGTGCTCATTACCTCACAGCAACATTGCATGTTTGTTTGTGTGTCCAGTCGAGGCTATGCTACACTACATGATAACACAGGGCTGCGTTGGCTAATGAGAAGAGCGGCCTGGAGGCTAATTTCAGGATAATACTGCGGTTGGTTCACTTGAAAGGAAATTAACTAATCTCAACATTATCAATTTCTTACTAATTCTTACAGCCTGTAACAACCCACTATGTCCCAAGTTGCTTTTGTCTCAGCTCTTTTTTATTGTTTCTTTCCAGGCACACACTTATTATTCTGCCTCTCTATCTGCCCATGATATCCTCATTCACCACCCTCTCCCTCTCTCTGGGACAGCAGATGGAAACTATGGCCCAGTTCTGCCTTTTGTTCAAGGTCCCTGGAGAGACCTTTTTGGACAGCACATAATCTCACTCATACAAAATGCAAGTGTCTGTCTTTTTATTAAAATGGAAGCAGAGGAATGCATGCTTTCTGAATATGATTATGGAAATGAGAGTGACAGCTTCAAACATGTTGAACGAACCACTTAATGGACTAACTCTGAACTTTCCACTGAAAAAAGTTATTCACATCCAAACAAAGTAATCCTTGTAACTTTTAGTGATTGCTGCCACAAGATGTGAAAACCTAAATTCTGCTTTTCAGTAAGTTTGACTGCATAAAACCAGTAAAAGATTATTTTTAACAATGCTGGTTGATTTCCAAAAGAAAATAGGACTTTCGACCACTGAACAACAGCCTGGTTCAGTTTTTTTCTTACACAAGAAGATCATCTCTAGTTCAGGAGAAGACTAACATAATGCAACACTCGTGGGCTATGTCCTTGATACCTCTGCATGTTTGGTGAAGCTCTGCTAGTTCACATCGTTTAAATCTCCCCTAAGCATATCCTTTGCTTTGAAATCTTCTCATGGCCTGCTTTTACTCTAGATGCTTGTACAAAAGTTTCTTCACATTTTCCTTCCAATTAACTTCCCATAATATTTTGGTACAGAACTGACAACTTTTGTTTACAATTAACCTTATGTGACTTTTATGGATAAGCTCAGTTAGTGTTGGCTTGACAACTATCAAATCAACAGAGATTGCTCATGACTCTAGGGTTTAACAGGATATTACTGTATTCCTTTCTAATTGTGCAATATTCTCATTTTGAAGTTAAAAGTCCATGTGGATTTTTTTTTTTTCGCTTTAAGCCATAATCTTCAAAAAGGAAAGCACTTAATTTGCACCACTCTGTTTTTAATGAGTCTGAATAAAGATTTTTTTTTTAAATTAAATAACTAAAGTTGTCAATGATTTATTTTTTGCTGGAATCCAACTGTAAAAAATTTATTTTAACTTGAAATGTAAACATTTTAAAGGGTCGTTTTTTGGTAGAAAAGCAGGGGGGGGGAAAACACACAGACTGAGAAGGTAAACATGAAGTTCAACGTGACACCAAAGTTTTCCTTTCAGTTCTCTTCTTCCAAACAGTATCAACACGCGTCAGTGCGTCTCAGGTTCTCCCCTCCACCACGAAGTTGTTAGTATTTTTCATAACGTCTAAGTGTAAATAATTAATGGGCAAGCCGTGAAACCTTAACCTGCTCAGCATCCCACCTGTTGAAGACACACGACTCATCCCAACTCCTCATATTTTAAGCCAAAGCGGCGTCACAACTATCTAAAGAAAGTTTAAACTCGTTTTTTAAAATGCAAATCATAGGCCAATGAAGATCTCGCAGGCGCATTCACGAATGGAAACGAATGTTTATTTTGAAGTTGTGCCTCAAGGTTTTTGCACTGAGCCTGTTCAAACTCTTCTCAGAGAGCAAACCACAAAGTCTCGATTCGCCAAAAGAACTTTACATTTATCAACCATAAAGAAAAAAATTAAAAAAAATAAAAAAATAGAGAAAATAACAGCCTAAATTATCGATCTACAAAACGTTTCCTACATGTTACCGCATGTGCCAAAAGCGTGTTTCTACGGTGAATGTTTACGGAAACTTGATATCGTCTCACCGCGGAACGAACTCGCTGCCGATGCCTGTGCGATTACACCGAGACACAGCTCTACTCTCCATTAATTATGTCAATAATTCAACGCAGCATTATTATTTTATCATCTACTCTGGAGAAGCGAGCATAAGGGCGCTGGGAGCTGGGATTGGCTGAAGGCAGTTGGTGGGGGACAGGCCATTTCGTCGGCCAGCAAACAGGTTGTTTGTTCATAAATTATTTCGTAGTGTTTTACTTTTTCCGCTCCATGCATCGCTACATTTTTGCGTTGCGCATGATAAGGAAAAAAAAAAGAAAAAGAAAACAACTATTTCTGTTTCAAAGCAGCGCGGACTTGCTGTCACGAGCCAGTCTCCGGGTCAAATGAAGATAGACCGCGAATATAATGGGGATGGAAATAAACAGAGGCCATGGGATGCACCGGCGCGCGTGCGCACGCGCGCGCGTGCGCACTCTTTTCTTTAGTTAGGAAAAGCGTGTTCTCTCTCGAGTCAGGTCCTCGGGGACACAGTGGGGACCCGCGAGCGCTCACCAGCTGACAGCGCGTGCTCCACTGAGGCCATCCAACACCTCAGCCCACGAGCCAACCAACAATAGGCTGAAATTAATGCACGCTCCACCATTAACAAATCTGGTAAGTGCCGAATGGAGGAGATGGCATCAGTTCAGAGAAGAAAAGAGGATAACTTTTTTCAAGAGTTAATAAACAAACAAACAAACAAAAAAACCACAAAAAACAACAGACAAAACCACAAACATACATAAGTTAAAAACTTTCTTTAAAAGTCATTTAAGAGTGTAGATATTTAAGTTAAAGCCTCATTAGTTTAACGAAACAAAGAGTGAAAAGTTAGAAAACATTTAGTTCGATTTATAATTATTTGCACGCCAGTTTCTCTATATCATTGGTCCAGTTGTACAGGAAAAAAATCTTAACTGGTAATCAGCAGTTGGAATTAAGATGCTCAAAATATTTGTATTATACTTCACAATAATAATAATAATAATAATAATAATAATAATAATAATAATAATAATAATAATTGTAATAATAAATACTAAAAGAAACCTTTGTGCATTTGTTTCGGCTCATATTTTCTATGGGTAAATTGTGAAAAGATGATTTAAAGACAAGTTATTTTTCTTATATTCTTTATTTTCAAAGTCCAATGAAAATAACAAAGAATGGCAAAACGACTGTTATTTTTTTTCCTCATCAACTTAAACTATACGGAGTTACAAAAAACAAAAGTAAGAAACATATAAGTAATAAATAGGCTACATTATAAGCATCATTTAATCTCAGACAGTGAAAGAAACAAAGTCACACAAATTTCTTCCGTTGATAAAAAAAAAAAAAAAAAAGAGAAAATCTTCCAAAAAGGCAGCGATGATGGCTACATTAATTGGGTTACATCTGTGGGAGGTTGGCAGTACTACACTAGCTAACAAAGCACAAACTGTATTCTGTGAAGTTTAGGGAAACCAAAACATCGCTGTACTGACGACTCTTGAGCCTCTGGCCCGAATATTTAAAGTGCATGTTCTAAACTTTAGAAGTTGCAAAAATTAAAATACATAATACAAACGAATTTTCAAATGAAAAACACAACAAAGAAAAATCAAGAACAATTTCAAATAATTTCTACATATAAATCTCACGTAAGCAAAACGAACGAAACAAACAGTCAATAAAGCCTTGTGGAAGACAGAGTTTTGGTCAGATGGACGTGGGAAATGCCCATGGCGGTGCTGAGCGCGACATGGCAGAGGGGTCGTCCACCCACGTCTTTAAGGAAATATGAAATATAACGTGTGTGTGGGAGTGTGTGTGTGTGTGTTGGCAGAACCGAATCAGGCCTTTCTAACAACAGTTATTACAGAAACAGAAAATGTGTTTCATTGCGAAATGAAAAACAAAGGAGAAATATTTTCCTTCTGAAGTTACAAGGCTGTAGGATTGACACGGTTTAGTGAATTTGGTCAATTCTGTTGCAGTGAACTACTTTTATTTAGTCTTTTTTTTAATCATTATTCAAAAACTATTTAGAATGACACTGTGGGATGACGGTGGCTGGGCAGCTTGATTTCCGACAGATCATCTTCTTCACTTGACTGGAGCTCCATTGCCATTTCATCCGAGTCACTGAAGTGGGAGCGCGGGGAAAACTCCCCGTCGCTTCGCGGGGACTCTTTCCTCTCGTTCCCGACAAGTGAGGGCGAGGAAGAAGGGGAACACATCGCTTCGTCAACTCTGCCGGTGAACGAGTTCTCTTGGAATGAGGAGCGGAATGGCATCCCGTTGATGTGAACGGGTATGGCATCACCAGAGAGGGGCAGAGCCACCGCTGTCCTGCAGGTAAGTGACGGCGACTGGGCAGCCCTTTCTTTTGCCCCTTCGAAGCCATCTGCGGCTGACAGCAAAATGTCACGCTTTGGCGAACCGTCGGAGTTTTCGTTGCTGCTGGACACCGGACCCTGTAGCAACTCGGCCAGCGCGTTGATGTAAATCTGCGCCATCTGCAGAGTTTCGTACTTGGAGAGTTTCTTATCATTGTCGAAGGCAGGGATGACGCTGCGCAGTTCGTCGAACGCGTGGTTCAGCCCGTGCATGCGCCTCCTCTCACGTGCATTGGCGGCCACCCGCCTCTGCCGCTGGACGCCGCTGACGGGCTTGCTGGACTGCGCTCTCTGCCTAAGGGGGGCCTCTTCATCGGGGCCCGTGATGGTGCCTTTGAGGCGGCACAGGTCCCTGACTTTGAGCGAGGAAGAGGAGGGACTCTTGGCAGATCTTCTGTGAATGGGAGGGCTGGGATGGCCCGAGGACCCGGGGGAACAACTCTCTGATAGAAGCAGAGCGAAAAATGACTAATTAATAAATGAGAATAGTTGAATTCCCTCTTATGGCAAAGTTAAATAAAAACAACAACTAATAAAGCAAATGAAAATGAATGATTTATTTCGCGTGTTCTTACTTTTACTAGTCAAAAGTCCCATAACATTTAAATGTGTAAAAGATCTACAACTAATAAAAAAAGAAGTATCAATACCTAATCAATGACATTAATCGCTCCTATCTGATGTATTGAAGTGTAATGAGGTCTCTCACCCTGGTAGGAGCCGGTGCTCGGACAGGGCGAGTGTCGCAGGTAGTCGGGTGGTGTGGCGTGTGCCGCGCAGGTGCCAGCAGCGTCGGTTAGCCAGGCGCGTGGATCACTGCCGCCGTCCACGAGCGTATGTCCCGGGTCGTAGCGGGACACCTCGAGTTGATGCGTCCCTCCCCTCTCCGCCACCCCGGCGCTGACGCGTTCCTGTTGCCGCGCGCCCAGAGCTGCAACCTCCCGCGGGCCTTTACTCCACTCTTCCACCGTTAACACATCCATATCTCCAAAATAACGAGAACACGTTTTTATACCCCCTATAACTGTATTAGGAAATGTTCCTTGGAATTCACAATTGCTCACAGTTTGTGTGTTTGTGTGTGTGTAAGAGGCGTTCGGGTCGCGTGCGGGACTCCTTCTCTGGTGTCTCAAGGCGCTGCGTCGGCTTAAAAAGCGGCACGCGTCTGGAAGCCCCCCTCCTCGCGCTGGTCGCGTGTTCACGTCCAATGAGATGTCTCGGTAAAAAAAAAAAAAAAAAAAAAAAAAAAGCCTGAGAGGTGATTATGGGTCTTTGAGGTGGGACTGTTTATGATAACATTACGATTTAGGGAGTGCTTGACGCAAACGGGGTGGCAGGGGAACCTCCCACCGGACGCACGTGCAAGTGATGAGGGGCTTAGTAAGGAGGGTGCACCGCGCGAGACGTGCGTGGATGAAACAGGATCCTCACCTGACCTCTCACTGAGCCTGTGTTGCGCCTCCGACATGGAGGTGGGGCTATCAGAAGGGGGGGGAATAACGGGGGCAGCTAGAAAAGTTCAACAGGGTCAATTGGCCTCCCTAGTTAAGAACCCAGGGACTGGCACTGAATGCGCAGTGTGATTATACAGAGCCAGAGTCAACGGGGCTGGATCGCAGATGAATGTTGTTTTATCTGAATCGAGAGCAAACAAATTTAATGGATAAAAGTGGTGCATCAATTTTAATTTGATTTCGGTAGATATCTAATAATTAATTGGCAAGAAATAATTATTTAAGTTTAACCGCTTAGAGACACAAATATACTCTGCTTTCATTGTGGTAAATTCTTATGAACATTGATTAAAGAACAAAAATAAAACAAAAACAAACCTCATGCCATGCCACATTGAAAAATCAGGAAAGGAACAGAGCACGTTACTCAATTTCTATTTGTACCAGTTTTTTGCTCATACTTGCTTTTCAGTTAGATTTACGTTCAGCTACAGGAAAGCACTTGTGATTATTTGGCTAAATGTTTAGAAGTTAATACACTGGTGGGGAACTTCATGGAGGGGGTTGGGCTGCTGGGGGCCCAAATGGACTAGGGCCGCCTCTGCATGGCTGCCCATATAACATGAACCAAGGCTACGTTAATAATAAGCTTAGAGAATAGTTTGCGTACAGTAACTCATATACACAAGTCAACTATATCCTCTAATATAATGCTTTATCATTCCAAATTCATACAAGAATCTACCTTCAATGTAATGAACAGTAAAATGTGCTCATTTGTGTTGATCCTGTTTGCTTGTTATCGTCTATTGTTGGTTCTTATCCTCCTGGTCGTTTCCCTCGTGTTCCTAGTTTTGGAGTGCTTTTTAAAACTTAATATTTTGAGAAATCCAGCATTGAAAATTTATATTTTTATCATTTAGTTTTTGTTATAGTTGCATAGTCGCTGAATACAAAGTGAATTAGTGTTTAAGTTTGATTAAATTAGTGGAATTCCAAAACCCTGCTTAAGTCTAATGGATTAAATAATCTTGCACATCTGGTTTGAATTGACTATGGTTTAACTTTTTATGGTTTCTTTAAGTTAAATACTTATGCAAATGCTTTAAAAAAAGTAAAAAAAAAAAAAAAAAGCCCAATAATGTTAGACTTTTACCTCTGCAAACGAACAATTTGCTATATTTTAAGTAATTATGATTAACATTTAACACAATCCAAAATTCAGCTGTAGCCTAAACCACCAGAAAAAAAAAATCTGTTGCGCTTTACATGTCATAAAAGTCCCGTTTGGAACTGAATAAAGTAACATTTAGGACTAGGAAGTTAAGGAAGCCCTGAAGTCAACATTAAAAGATTTTTTTTAAGGCGAAGATATTTGCGGTTGCCTGGCTCGCGGCATCCATTGTAGATTTGTTAAATCCAGGATCATCTCCAGTTTCAATTTTTTCCTTTGTAGCCGGTTTAAAACCTTTTGATCCGGCTCTCGGAACGCCCTGCCGGTGAGAAAAGGGCACAACAGGGAACTGAAACGCGAGTTGACTGTGTTGTGGCGCGCGGTGAGCAACATGGTCAGGACGCACACGCACGACACAGACAGATTGATGCACTTTGCAAATTCGCTTAAATGTAACTAAATTGATCCAGGGTTATTCCCCCCCACACACATACATACACATGAGTCTACAGCTAACTGGAAAACTGCACAGAAAAAGAAAGTGAAAAAAAAAGTCATTTACTGACGTGCAAACCTCCCACCACATAACCAAACGAGTAAGCGGAAATAAGACTGAATGTCTGAGCGGATTTATTTTGAAAAAATTATAGCAAATGATTGGTGTTTGAGGAAGGATGATTTAAAAAAAAAAAAAAAAAGATAACCTAATAACTATATCAAGATTCAGTTGATACAGTTGGTCAGATGGTGCCTGATAACTGTCTCCTGTGGTTCAGAAGCCTCAGGAATATTGTCATGTCAATTTATGAAGAAGGAAAAACATAATTCCAGAGAATAAATCGCACAATTTCAGAGACAGCCTGACCTAAGTCATTTCTACTTTTTATTCATTTATTCATCGCGGGGACATCTTTAGGGGTGGTGGTCTGGCGCCGAGCGTTCGCCCCCTCCTCTTCCCACTACTGAGCCTCCCTCCCGCGTCCAACGGGCCGGGCTGGGCTCCTGAAGCTACCGACAGGTTGGATATTGTCGCTGGCGATTATTAAAGTGTCTCAGCCACAATGGAGACTCTATGTTCCATTGGTCACGGCTGAGGGGCGAAGCTCCTTCAGGGGGAGAGAGCGAGACGGGCTCCCATTCCAATGCGCAAGAGGAGTCTGCGTGCTGCCCCCTCTCATTCCCATCTCCCTGGAGACTGGGGCGCGCCGGGCACGAGGCGGGGAGGTGGGCAGGGATCTCATAATAATCTTTAAAAAAAAAAAAAATAAATAAAAATCCTGTAAATACAAATGTAAGAGCGCCTTTTTTACATATATATATATATGCAGCTAACCTGCTCAGTAACTTCAAATCTATTTATTTTGCAAGCCAGCTCGATGTGTTGAGGGTGTATGTTGTATAGGTGCATCTAAAAAAAAACCCAAACAAACAATGAACAAACAATATCTGCCACTTGATACAGAAAATAGAACACATACACAGTGAAATACTTCTATTTGGGACAGTCGAGCTCATCTGTCTTCTCCCAATGCTTACTAGAAACAACCAATCAGAGCCAGCAGGTGGGTCTTAGCGCTGTCAATCACAATATCGCTCCTCCCCCCCAAGCTCTCTGCTACCTCCAGCTTTCCAATGCGTGAGCTGGTCAGTTTTACCACAGATGATGGTGTATAACTCAGCTTTCCTGAAATGGTAGGTTGACCTTCTTCCTGATTATAGTGATGGATAAATGAAGCCTCGTGAAACAATGAAGATTTCCAGCCCATTGCTTTGGCCAAAGGTTCTTGATTCATTACTCACTAGGGACATCTGCTGTTGCACTAAAACAGTGACGGCCTTGTCACTCAAATAAATGCAACTTTTACAAAAATATATTAAAATGTTGTGTATGCAATATGTCACAATATCGTTGTTCGTTTAGACCGTTTTCATTTATCTTATGAACTCATTTGGCAAGAGTGCAGTGATTGTTGGGGTTTCTATGACTTTCTGAAAAACTAAAATTCTTCTAACTTCATGTTTCTAGGACTTCTGCCTCTGACTTTCTATAGTTACATAAATTTAATAACTTTCAGTCTGATTTTGCTTTGTGAGACTGATGTGTAACAAAACATATATTTTTTCAAATGTCTATAAATCTTCTGGAGGGTTTTATTGAAACCGCAGCTTGATGTGAGCTGTCATATCAAAGTATACCCAAATAGGAGAGTTTTTTTTGTTTGTTTTCTGTTGGCTCCATTTCAGCTACTGCTGATGGCAAACACTCTCATCAGATGATGCCAAATGACCTATAACAAACCAAGAAGCAGCATGGCTCCTGCCGCTTTTATTTCGAAAATCCACACCCAAAACGATGTGTCCAATGAGAGACACTGTTTAGTGTCAGTCAGATGGTTTTAAGCGAGTCGACGCATGGCTTCATGTGACACGCCACCCTTTTACTAGGTACGCGCCTCGAAGCCTTTAATATTTCATCTTTGTAATGTTTATAAAGATGAGAGCCAATGATGGTAAAAATGATTTTTGTGTTGTGCATATTTCTGAAAGCTGTGTATGGGAGGATGGAGCAGATCAATTCCTTTAGTTTTTTATTGGGAGAATGAGTAGTTTACACAGACTGGTCAAGATCCAAACTCAGTATTTCGTATTTAGTTCCATCTGGGGAAAAAAAACGTAAGATAATTCTAGTATTCAAAAATGTCAATTTCACTTTATTTAGAATTAAAATGAGCTGATGGATGTTCATGGTGCAATAAAATAATAGTTTTGATGATTAATAGGAACAGGTATAATGGCAATATGTAAATAATCATTTCTGCCTCTGTTATTTTTCATAGATTGCAAACTCATCATCGGTAAATAAATGTTACGTCATTTCTTCGACTGCATTGACACAATGTATTTTAAATGCCAGACTTTGCACCCATATAGATTTTCTGCTGTTGATTTACAGTGAAATTAGCGAAGGCAACATTAATGTCAACTCTCCAGAAGGGTAAGAGACATGGATGTCAGTTTAGTTTAATCTGTCCTTTTCTGAAAATCTCACAGCTTCATAGTTAACTGAGACCATCTTCTTTAGCTAGTATTTTTTTCAGTCTCTAGTTAACATCATTTCCCAACAAAACATAGTTCTAAAGCTGAAGAAGGAATATCCTAGATAACTGGAAAAGCTAAACAGCGCCACTGCCTGGAGAATAAGTGCTACTTCGGTATAATGTTCCATTGAACTTGAGAGCATGCAGGTCTCAGTTGTCTGGATCTATTCAGCTGTGAACAAGCAGTAAAATAGCCTTTGAAGTTATAAGAAATTTAAAATGAGAGACCATAAAATGGCACTAAGTCTTAAATGTTAAACCTTTTACTGATAAAATTATAATGTCAACAAAAATTATTTAAAAAATGTTATACAGATGATTTAATTAAAAAACAAAGCTACATTAACATTCCTACATCAACCTGGCAAACAATGTGTAATTACTAAAATCCTCTAAGTTCT